GGGGGGATATATTACAATGGCACCTGGAAGTGTGGGGGGGGGATATATTAGGCAGCAAGTGGACATTTTGTTCCTGAAGTTGTGTTGGAAGCAGAAAAAATGGACAAGTGTAAGGATCTGAGTGACTTTGACAAAGACCAAATTGTGATGTCTAGAAAACTGCAGCTCATGTGGGATGTTCCCGGTCTGCAGTGTTGAGGACCGACCAAAAGTGGTCCAAGGAAGGAAAACTGGTCAACCAGTGACAGGATCATGGGAGGCCAAGGCTCAATGATGCACAGGGAGAATGAAGGCTGGCCCATGTATTCCAATCCAATAGAAGAGCTAATGTAGCTCACATTGCTGAAAATGTAAATTCTGGTTCTGATAGAAAGGTGACTGAACACACAGTGCATTGCAGTTTGCTGTGTAGCCTCAAGCCAGTTAAGGTGCCCATGCTGACCCGTGTCCACTGCCAAAAGCACCTACAATAGGCACGTGAGCATCAGAACTGGACCACGGAGCAATGGAAGAAGGTGGCCTGGTTTGATACATCATGTTTTCTTTTACATCATGTGGATTGCCGGGTGCGTGTGCGTCACTTACCTAGAGATGACACCAGGATGCACTATGGAAAGAAGGCAAGTCTGTGGCGGCAGTGTGATGCTTTGGGAAATGTTCTGCTGGGAAACCTCCGGTCCTGCCATTCATGTGGACGTTACTTTGACACGTACTACCTATCTAAAGATTCTTGCTGACCAAGTACACCCCTTCATGGAAACGGTATTCCCTGATGGCAGTGGCCTCTTTCAACAGGATAATGCGCCCTGCCGCACTGCAAAAATTGTTCATGAATGGTTTGAGGAACAACACAACGAGTTGGAGGTGTTGATTTGGCCTCCAAATTCTCCAGATCTCAATCCAATCCATCATCTGTGGGATGTGCTGGAAAAACAAGACCCATCCATGGAGGCCCCACCTCGCAACTTACAGGACCTATAGGATCTTCTACTGATTGCTTGGTGCCAAATACCACAGCATACCTCCAGAGGTCTAGGGGAGTCCATGCCTCAACGGGTCAGGGCTGTTTTGGCAGCAAAAGGGGGACCTACTCAATATTAAGCGGGTGATCATAATGTTATGGCTGATTGGTTTATATCAAGTTATTAAAGGGTATCTAAGGTCAAAAACTAAAAGTAAATTTGTATTTCTATGTTGAATTTCCATAAGTTCTATCCCACTCCTAATAAGCATATCCATCTAGAAGTTTGATAGCTTACTTACCGAAGATGCCCATAGGATGGACTTCCTCAATGCACTGGCACTATTTCGCTCAGCCCTGTGACTATGGACTTCCTTCTGTCACCGCTTTTGCAAAGCCTGCTGTCCATACTACAATTCAACTCTTCCCCCCTCTTTCACAGTGAGCACAGGAAACGGCCACAATGTAACATTATCACTGCCTGCTGGAAGCAATGCATGTTGGGATATGTAGTCTAGAGAAATGGAGATTGCATCACATCAAGCAGCAGGGAAAGAGATGCAAAGCACACTGGGAATCCAGGAAGTTGTTAGAAGTGATGGGCAGAGGAAAGGCAGCGCTCACTACATAAAATTGATTTTTTTCAATTAAGCTTTGATTGTATTATCAGAAACATCTCTAGTATGTGTTCCTATTACAATGCTGATGTTATAACAGGAGAGGATATGCTGAGACTTTAGAACTTTAAAAAATAACCCTTGCGCTGGGGCTACCCTCACACTGCAAGGGTTAACTGCTTCCTTTTCTTTAGGTGCCGGAATACAGAAGATATACTAACCTGCTCCTCGGTTCTGCGGCAGTCAGCACTCTCCTCTCTCCCCCTCATCTCTGTGGTATGTTCCTTGGCATCCTTATGTCTATTGCAAGTGACATGATGACATCAGTGGGGCTTAGCATGGAGGAGAAGAGGCTCCGGGGACCGGTCTCGCAGCCAAGTAAGATCGAGGATCAGATGAGCATATTTTGTGTATTTGAGCCCCTAGACCAAAATGACCAATTGACCATTGCCAGGGCTAACTTTTTATTTCCCTTCAGTTCCTCTTTAAGCTCAAACTGCACTACAGCCAGGAAAATAATTATAGAGAGACTGCCTAACAGAGAAATAGCATAAGAAGCAGCTGATCACATAGCTCAGTGTTATATGAGCCAATCCATTCTATCTGCTCCTGCCAACATGATTCCTGCACTGCAGCACGTATGCCTGGCTCCTCTGCTGTCCTTTCTTCTCCCAGCCTGAGTGCTGCCGTGCTAATAGCAAATCATATTCAGGTACTTACACTAGCTGCGGCTTTCTGGGAGGATCAACAGGTATTTCTTTTGCCTATGCAACAGATATAACGAAACACTTTAAAACGTATATTTACCAGACCAAAAGGGATCATGTAAGAGATGTTCATTGGTAAAGTTACATACATTTTAAAGGAGAACTGTCCCCAGGCTATGGAAATTCAGATGGTCAAATAGGAAAGACATTTCTTCGAACCGCAGCACACTTAATACAAAGATGATGATGCCATTCTATAAAAGTCATGCAAATGCACAGGTGTGAATGCATCCATATAGATACACTGTCACCTTGCCCTGGAAGTGCGGGTATTCTCGCTGGCTGCAGAGTCAAGGATCTGCGGGGGAGCGTAGGTAAGATAGGCATAAGGGGTCAGAGATGCACTCTGCAAAGACACTGTCATTTTGCCCTGCATGGGCAAGGTGACCGTGTCTCTTTAAATTATTGCCAAGACCGTCATTATGGGAGACCACTTTTCCTTAGTAGCCAGAAGTACCTAATTGCCACGCAACATTACTGCTGCCCCTTGAGACCTGGTGTCCACCTGTGATCAGCCTGAGCTTTGTGTGAACCCAGATTGTCTGAGCTCACCCAAGTCCGCTCAGAACTGCGACCGCCACACTCAGTGGCGTAACTATAGACATAGCAGCTGAGGAAGATGCTATGGGGCCTGGGGGTGGAAGGGGGCCCAATTAGGTTGTTGGGGCAAATTTAACATAGAACATGTGAAGATAAAACGGTACTGTATCATAAAGTGTTGGAGTTATAACCTACGGTGCAGAAACAACTTCAAATACACAAGAGGAGTCTTTGGGATCTTGACATCGTTACTTACAGCTCTGAGAGAGGTCGTCAGCAGGGGGGCCCCATTACATTTTTGCTATGGGGCCCCCGTGGTCCGTAGTTACGGCCCTGATCACACTCCCTTCTTAGTCCAATCAGTTGCGGCAGGGGCATTCTCTGCCCTGTAGTTACACATTACAAAGGGGTGGGGAAGGTCCCCTCCACAACTCCTGCCACTGATTGGGCTGCGGTCCTGCTGACTGCTTGTTTCTCCTTCTGTGCTTACTCCCTTTAATTTGGTCCTTTTTGGCTTTTACTGCACTCCAGGCTTCTTTACTATATACTGGAGGGAGCATACCTCTCCTATGTATCTGTTCAGCCAGGTGCAGCCTCTTGATTGGTCTATACTCCTTTAAAGGGACACAAGCGCCCATACTGAAATTGATGAACCTTGAGGGCCTGTTCACACGACGTCCGTTTTCTGTGCTGACCTGATCCGTACGCTCCTGCACTAAAAATGCATCCCAATGTATCCCTATGTGTTTTATGGGCTACAGTTCTCACGTGCGCAGTCCGTTCAGGTTACGACAGGAAAAATACTGCATGTCACATTTTGTCCGGTCAGGAAACGCACAAACGCGGCAAAAACGCAACGAAAACGGAGCGGGGTCAGCTAAGCAAAAAAAAAAAAAGATAGACAGACAGGTTGGGGTAGAGCTAAAGACATGAACTGCAAACATTTTGATCATGCCCATTACCTTTCCATGGACATTTGAGTAAAGGAAAAAAATGTATCCGAGTGAGCTCGCAAATCCTCATATAAACTCCAGAACTGACCCTTGGAGTCCCGGAGCCTCAAGATCGGGTGTACCCAATAACGATGTCTCCCGCGAGCTCGCTCTCTGCAGATTGCTGTAGCCGGCACCATCAACATGCTGCAAACATGTGATACATGTCTGATCACCAGCTTTACATACACAAAGGGAAGTAGATGTTACGAGAGGGCGGAAGTGACCTCAGAGGAAGAATCTGCATACTGACAGCCCCACGGCATGAAAAAAAAAGTCAGCATCCGGACCGAAAACGCATCAAAAACGCGCCAAAAACACACTGCATGAGTAGCACCGTGTCTGCAGATCAGCACCTGATCAAGACCTGAAAATCATGTGAACAGGCCCTGAGGGTGTATCTGTGTGATCCTGATTACCTGTTGCTCTTGTTATCCTATCTTCTGAGTGTTCCTCTTTCCTCTTACCCAGTTCCTGTATTCTTGCTTCTGTCTCCTAGTTTGTTTCTCTCCTGCTTCCTGTTTGTTCTAACTTGTTACTCTGTTACCTTTCTTCTGATACCCTTGATCCTGCTCAGTACCACCTCTGAGCTGTTGAACTCACTTGCTTGATCCTACCTTGCTGGTACAACAAGCTCTGACCTTGACTGTGGTATTGATTATGCCCCCCCTCCATCCTCTGATTGACCCCTGTTGGATTTTCTTTTTATTTTATATTGTGAAGCATATAACAAGAGGAGCCGGAACACACAAAGGTGGGCTGGAAAACCCAAAACTTTCAGGTGGACAGGAACAGAGTTAAGATATATGGCAAGCATATTTCTCTGTGTCCGAGACATTTAGAGGTTGACTCAGCCTACCAAGTTCCTTCTATATTGTACCCCTAGGCAGCCTGTAAGCCTCAGTTCCAACATATTGAGGACTCATCTGTGGAACTGGACCTCAGACTAGAAAACTGGTGCAGAAACAGCCAACAGTCTTTTCATGAATACCCAACAGTGGATTGTAAAAGGATATGGTAATATGATTCCAATAAGGTTCCTTTGCTCTGATACATACTCTAAATAGTGGGAACTGCTAAAAAGTGATATTTTGTGACCACCAAATTGTTGGAAATGCAACAGCATATATAATTATATTACTTGTGTAATTATGTATTTTGAGCTGTAGATGGCGCTGCAGTGCAATGTTAGTGCACGTTTATCTATAATACACAGGAAGTTCTCTCTGTATGCTGTATAATGTATTCTAATGTACCATTCTCCTAAGCAAGTAGAATTTAATTCAGCATTCCTCGAGATCTCAGTGCTTAATCTGAACACACAATCAACGCAAAGAAGCAGTGATTATTTTCTAGAGATGTTACAAAGGTGTCAAAGGATATCTACCAGGTGCAGCTGGAGCATGTTTGGTCCAGGAACTCACTGTATACAGACCAACAAATGTATAATACACTAGGATATAGTGAGCTGGGTCAGATGTAACCAAAAAGTCCTCCAATAAACCAGTGCGAAGCACAGTACATTCTGCTTAGAACATGAGTATATACATGTCTCATTTCCATTACAAATCCCAAAAATAATTCTAATATTTCTCATTTAGGATAGTGCACACAAGCTGTCAAGTTACACGTTCTCTTTGGTCCCCAAGCCCTTCTCCATAGAAGACATTGTTTTCATAATGGCCAGCAAGCCTGAGACAACTTTTTGCAGTTTGGAATAAATGACAAAGTATTATGCTGTATTTGTGCTATAAACCAGCAGTTCTGGTTCTGCAGTTGGCCCGGGGGTATAAGGAAATCATTTGTATGGCTCTGGCACCTATCCTAAAATGGGGAACTGTCACCTTATTGTTTGGATTGTGATGGAATGAGACGCAAAAATACCATCTCTTCTTAGAAGGCTCCACTTTCCTTGGTGCCAATGTATAACAGAAAGGCTTCAACATATAATGGCTTCTATGTAATGCAGTTTTATATTATATTTTAAAGGCTGATATTAAAATATTGTATTAGAGTTTGACATTATTATGGATGTGACAGAAGCATCTGTTACTCTGCTATCTGGAGGAGACTGCTGGCCTTCCCACCGACTATGGGCCTTGGTTGTGGAGGGGGCTCTATTGAATGGGAGAGGGTCTTGCCAGGGTGCTTTGGGCTGTGTGGGACCCTTTGTTGGTAAGAGTACCCCAGGGACCGATATCCCATTTATGTGGGGATACATGGGGAGCTGAGACTGTTTTCCTATAGCCCAGTATCCTGTCTTGGACCAGACTCTGGACTTAGACTTGACTAACAGACTAACAAGTTCAATGGGAGTCTATTTGTCCTTTTGTCTGATTGCGTTAACAATGGGATTAATTGACACTAGATGTAGCTGAGTATATTACCATATGATAGACATTCAGTAGATAATCCCATCATATGTGTCTTCTCTCTCCCTATTCTTCACCTTTGGGATGAATTAGAGCGGAGACTGCGAGCCCGGCCTTCTCATCCAACATCAGTACCTGACCTCACAAATGGTCCAACATTCCCATAGACACACTCCTAAACCTTGTGGATGCCTTCCCAGAAGAGTTGAAGCTGTTATAGCGGCAAACGGTGGGCCAACTCAATATTGAACCCTACGGACTAAGACTGGGATGTCATGAAAGTTCATGTGCGTGTAAAGGCGTCCCAATACTTTTGGCAATATAGTGTATGAGTAATATAATGGGATGTGGGTGTCCTTCAACATATGGAAATTCTATTACAATGTCCTTTAGATGCAGCACGTACACATATAATTTAACTGCTCAGGTAATCTGCTCTGGTGACGGTCATTCTCAGTCCGCTCATGTTTAGAGAGTTGTCCTGCCAGGTAAAAAAAATCTGTGCACAGCATACGTTTGAGTGTGTAATCATCATAATAATGACATTTGTAAACAATACGTATGTGTATTTCCTGCACATGGTATCATCGCTCTGATATTATCTAACACTGTTGCATGTGTATGTTATAAAAGAGCCATTGAGGTCGATTCTGTTAACAGAGGGTCACAGGAATCTCTGCACACCAGAGCAATCAGCCTCCAGCCTGGTGAGTCGTGTCTTTTCTCCGTGGCCAACCTAATTCCTTTTTCTGATGAAGCCTAAAGTCATAGTTCCAGTTTAAACATTAATAATAACAACAGCTGTGCCAACTGCAGTAAATCACAAACTTCTTCTGGCATGCGAATATCCTCACCCCTCCTTCCTCTACTTCTCTCTCCATGGCTACAGGCAGTTAGCAGAAGTGATAACAGTCACAGGATTAAGTAGGAGGGGAATGGAGTTTCAATTCTCCTCCAGTGTAATTAACAACAAGATCTTACACACTTCCTTGTCCTATGAGCTGGGACCGTATGTGAACAGCCATGGAGGAATCGACTGGGAATAGTAACACCATGGATAGCTTACAGTCCTACTTGGAGAGGGACCCCTGCCTACTGACAGGTGATTTTTTATTTTAATTTATTTCACCCCCTTATTCTTGTGGAGCTTAGGTGACTTCCTTACTGATAAGATAACTTTCTTTTTAATGTCCACCTTGCATAAATATGTAAATATAAGTATGCCCATATAAGTTGGTGCAAAGCTGCTCACTTTAAAATGTAACAAAACCTCTCCTCCAAAAATTAAATATATACATTTGGTAATTCTACCAATAACACACTTTCAGGTCCTAGGGGGGACAACGCTCGCTCACTCCCTTGGATCTATACAGAAGCAGTGTTGTCACCCAAGGCAACTCATGATTTGGGCTACAAACACATATTCCAGAAGATAGCTTGGAAGGAATTTAACATTGGGTTGATGTATTAAAGGAGTTGAGCATGTGCACGTTCAACACTTTTGTTTAAATTCAGAAATTGACTTTGCAAAGTGTCCCCAAAATGTTTTACTTTGTTTCGCTTTATTCACTTAGTTAAGTAAAAATAAACTGTGAAAATTAGCATGCTCTCCTGCTTCAGTACATCAACCCTACTGCTTGACATTTCACTTCCAGTCACGGGGAAGTGACCAGAAAATGGCATTTCTTGCAAGATCAAAAAGCTTTTTTTGTATGCAGCTGCTAAAAATAATCTTATATCCTGAATATAGAAAACGAATGCGGCTACCACACTTGAGAACTGGTAAGCTGCAAGATATTAAATATTTGTTCTTGGGGTTAGATATACTTTAAGGTCATTGCAAATGACAAATTCTGTGATTCTGGAGGAAGAGAGGTTTAATCTTTGCATATGGAACAGTACAGTACGCACTGTGAACACGTGGAATAGGGTTACTTCTAGCCAACTCTAGATTGCCACATGAAAGGCTGGGAGTGTTTCTAAATACACTAAAATAAATAACTGGCTGATAACATTTATAAGAAATAACAATGGCTGATTCAAGGGGTATCTGATTGCCTTATGGCATCAGGGAGGATTTTTTCCACCATTGAAGTGAATTACACCACGCTTTATGCCTTCCCGTGTAGTGCAGGTTTAGGGTGGATGCAAGGAGTTTCATTTTGGCTGAACTTTAGCTATATGACTTTTTTTTTAACTTAACTTTGGAACTTATGTAAAACACTAAAATGTTTCACAATCACTGCTTGTAATTATGGATCTATCTATTGCAGATTTTCTCAACCTCTTTAATACAGAGGAGCCCTTTAAATAACTTTCTAGTCTCAGGGAACCATTGCTAATAATTACCCTGGCTACAGCTCAGGGTACATTAGCGTGATGGTGGGAAGAATGCTCCATATATTGTTGGTCAGTGGGAAGAATGCTCCTTACATTGGTGGTCAGTGGGAAGAATGCTCCTTACAATGGTGGTCAGTAGGAAGAATGCTCCTTACATTGGTGGTCAGTGGGAAGAAGGCTCTATATATTGTTGGTCGGTGGGAAGAAGGTCATTTACATTTGTAGTCATTGGGGAAAATGCTCCTTACATTGGTGGTTATTGGAAAGAATACCTCTTACATTGGTGGACAGAGGAATGAATGCTCCTTACATTGCTGGTCAGTGGGAAGAATTTTCCTTACATTGGTGATCAGTGGGAAGAACACTCCTTACATTGGTGGTCAGTGAGAAGAATGCTCCTTACATTGGTGATCAGTGGGAAGAATGCTTCTTACATTGGTGATCAGTGGGAAGAATGCTCCTTACATTGGTGGTTGGTGTGGGAAGAAGGTTCCTTACATTGGCAGTCAGTTGGAAAAATGCTCCTTACATTGGTTGTCATTGTGAAGAATGCTCCTTACATTGACTCTTAGTAGGAAGAATGCTCCATACATTTGTGGTCATTAGGAAGATTGTTCTTTTTGTAGCGCTCACCTCCAAAGGAGCTGCCAGAATAGCCCGGGTCATCGCTAGAAATCTAGGGGTTTTGGTCTTCAGCTGCCCCATTAGCATTTAACCACCCTTATCTAGTGCCCACAAAGCTGACATTCACTCCAGTAGTATAATGCTGAATAACGTTTATTAACATCTTCACACTGGGGAGAGAGGGTATAGGGTTCCTAGACATCCAGGGTAGTACAGACATAGACTCCAGACTCACCAGACCTTTTTCAGCTATTCAATGTAGATCAATTTGTAGTATAGCAAATAGGAATTTGTGTAGCAGATGAGCAGGGATGAGCACAAATCCTCATCAAGAGAGACACCAGACTTGCTCCTGAGGACCACTATGTCCCAGGCACCTCCAGTAGCCATTAGCTTCCCTGGTTCTCCTACTCCTACAACAGCTTGAGGCCCAGGGGAAACACTTCCCGCACTCCAGCATCCCAACCCCCAAGCCTCAGGCCCAGCCTGGGGGGGTGGCTGGACAGCACCCAACCCTATACTAATTCATGGCTGGTCCCACACTAGACTGAACACATCGCAATTCCCTCCAGCATATGTACTCTGTCCCAGCATGCAATACTGGTTTAGTGAAACCCAGTGATTGGCTGGTGAACTGCACACACACTCACAATGCCCCTCATTGGCTGTCCCACACTACAGCAGAGTCACACTCCACCCAGGTAGATACAATCAATACCAGAACACCTGGAATTAACCAGATAAATGCCAACTATAATCCAGCAAGTTTGTCTACAGCCCTGGCAATCACTACATTTCTAGTAGACCCTCTTATAAAAGGTGATGGGGGCTACACTTGCATTGGTAGTCATTGGGAATGCTCCTTACATTGGTGATCAGTGGGGGGAATGCCCCTTATATTGGTGGAGAGAGGAATGAATGCTCCTTATATTGGTGGCCAGAACAATAAATGCTCCTTATATTGGTGGTCAGTGGGAAGAATGCTCCTTACATTGGTGGACAGAGGAATGAATGCTCCTTACATTGCTGGTCAGTGGGAAGAATTTTCCTTACATTGGGGGTCAGTGGGAAGAATGCTCCTTACATTGGTGGTCAGTGGGAAGAATGCTCCTTACATTGGTGATCAGTGGGAAGAATGCTCCTTACATTGGTGGTCAGGGGGGAAGAATGCTCCTCACATTAGTGATCAGTGGGGAAGAATTCTCCTTACATTGGTGGTCAGTGGGAAGAATGCTCCTTACATTGGTGGTTGGGGGGAAGAATGCTCCTTACATTGGTGAACAGAGGAATGAATGCTCTCTACATTGGTGGTCAGTGGGAAGAATGCTCCTTACATTGGTGGGCAGTGTGGAGAATGCTCCTTACATTGGTAGTCAATGGTTTGACACAAATCAAATTTTGTCAAACCAGGCGGTGCCAGCAAGGCCACCTACAGCTTGAATTTCTGCCATTTAAGCAGGAATGAACAGAAATTTGAGCTGTGGGTTCCCAGCTTTGGGTAAATTCAGCATGTTTTGTCTAATCACATTTATGTAAACTAATGAGACTGTGAAACATTTATGTATACTCACCTCTGTTACTTCCTTAATGGACTAATACAGAACTATGACATCCGTTGGCATCATTTGCATATGGAAACAAACTAATAAAACAAACCTGAGTGTCTGTAAGCTTTCCTCTTCTATGCTGGAGTTATATTTATTTTGGTTCTTGGGCACCGATGATTGGATGATGTTAGCTCACTTTTGTATACTGTATGTGCAGCTTAAGTCATGCATTGTGTAGCTCCAATAAGAGACTGACTTAGGAAATAAATCAGTGTAAAGAAGGAAGCAAATGTTGTCTCTCGTCAATAAATGACCCTCTGGGAGATGGAGCTGGCCATTAGTGGATGCTTAAAACTAATTAAAGTCACAGGACAAAATATTTGGTGAGGATTTGTATTTTAATCTTAATTTTAAGAGGGAAATTTTGTTTTATTCAAGAGCGCCCAAAACACAAGCGCTAGTTTCTGCTACCAAAAAACATAATTAAATATTCATGAGAGTGTGGACTGGCACCAAGCATGCTTATGCTGGGCGGGAGTTCAGGGAAGTCAGGGAAGTCGCTGACTTTTCATCAAGGTGATTTATATTTGTTTTTTTTTCCTGTAGATCTTCAATTGTCCAGCAGTTCAGACTCCCGTGACATAACCAGCGAGGTAATAAATCAATATCACATCATAAAAAACTTTACAGATGGTTATAGAATAATTGTCCTCTCCTTATATCTGTGCCTCTCCTTATATCAGTGCCTCTCGCTATATCTGTGCCTCTATTTTGAAGAATGTAAACCAAATTGGAGATTTCAAATAGAGTTGAGAGGGATGAGACCTCCATTCCTGAGTCCATGTGTTGGTGGTACACTTGATGATTGCACAAGTGTGCTCAGCCCTTAAAGAAAGGGTGCTGACTAGGGGAGTTAGCTCCTGCTGGGAAAAAATAGGAACACATGGGGGTTGATTTACTAACCTTATAAACACGCCACAAACAAGTATACACCTCTGTAGTGTGTTCCCTCCCAGCATGATCTATTGGTGGAATCTAGACACCTTTGTAGTGTGTACACACCCAGCAGGTGTTTTGTGCAAAGCCCTGCATGAATTGCAAGGTGATGTTGTGTAAATTAGCTCTACATTGTGTTGCTTGCGTTGATGAATGCAGGAATGTAAATGCATGAGCTAACCATTTTTGTCTAAACTGTGAAGCAGCATTATATATGCAGCATGTGCATGATTTTTCCATATATGGCATTAGGAAATATGCTTTTAGAGACTTTAGGGTTGATAAATACATTTTGCTGTGTAAAAATCACACACACCTGCTGCGTGTGTGTGTTTAGGTTAGTAAATCACCCCCACAGTGTTCAGGAATCAGGAGGATTCCCCAAGAAGTCAAAGTGGAGTCAAGTGGTGTGTGCTGGAGGCACATGAAGACAGCCAGAGAGGCTGGGAGAAATGGTGAGGCTGGGAGAGCCGAAAGCCTGAGGGGCCATCAGTACAAGTGCGGGACAGCGAGGACCAGTGGGTCAGAATTAATAAGTGGAAGCCAGGAGGCTATACTTATGTTGTTTTGCAAGCAGTACATGGATATTGTACTGATCAACCCCTGCGAGGGTATCTAAGGCGGATGTGTGAACTTTTCGTTAAAAAAAGAGTGGGCTACCAGGACCTTAAACAGAAGGTATTGTGAGTGGAGTGCATCCTTAACCACTTTAAGCCCGGGGTGTTAGACCCCCTTCCTATCCAGGCCATTTTTCAGTGTTCAGCGCTGAGGTAGTTTGACTGACATTTATTCTGTCATGCAACACTAAACTGAACTTCATTTTATACCATTTTTTGGGGACAGATAGAGCTTTATTTTGGTGGTATTTAATCACCACTGCGGTTTTTATTTTATTTTTTACTATATAACAAAAAAAAGTACCAAAAATGTTCTCTATCTCTCTCTCTCTCTCTCTCTCTCTCTCTCTCTATTAATCTGTCTAGAGAGATATATATGTTTATGCTAGTGTGAGGGAGGGAATGAGGAGAACTGCAGGGGCCGGCCTTTCTCAAGGAAAATGATAGTCCAATCAACCTTACCCCCAAGGATCTCAACTAGGGAGCATTGCTCAGGGTTGTGATGGTGTCTACAGACGTACTACTGTTCCACATTTCGATTAGATTGAGCAAAAATTGTCCAGGCACCCTTGAAACCACCCTCGAAGGTCTCTGAAGATGTAACAGACGTTTCCCCTTAGACATTGGTAACCAGAATAGGAGGTGAGGTCAAATCCTTGCCAGGGGGACCCCGACAGCAATAAAATAAATGCTTAGAAGAAGGTGCAGGATAGCTCTCACGTGGATGCACTGAGCAGGCTAGATACTGAGCCATAGGGAGCAGAAAAGAACTGTCAAAAGACCTGTGTAACAAGGTAATGGAACTTTATAAAGATGGAAAGGGATATAAAAAGATATCAAAAGCATTGAAAATGCCAGTCAGTACTGTTCAATTACTTATTAAGAAGTGGAAAATTCAGGGATCTCTTGATACCAAGCCAAGGTCAGGTAGACCAAGACAGATTGCAGCCACAATTGCCAGAAGAATTGCTTGGGATACAAAGAAAAACTCACAGGTAACCTCAGGAGAAATACAGGCTGCTCTGGAAAAAGACGTTGTGGTTGTTTCAAGGACCACAATACAATGATATTTGAACAAAAATGACCTGCATGGTTGAGTTGCCAGAAAGAACCCTTTACTGTGCCAATGCCACAAAAAAGTCCGGTTACAATATGCCCAACAACACCTTGACACTCCTCACAACTTCTGGCACACTGTAATTTGAAGTGACGAGACCAAAATGAAGCTTTATGGTCACAACTTGACTAGTATCAGTGCCAATACCGAGTATTTGGGCGAGTACTCGTACTCGCCCAAATGCTCTGATACCTTTCCCGATACCAGAACTTCCAGTTAAGGGAAGATTTCCTCTGACCGGCAGTGCCGTAGGGGAACATGGAGAGTAATGACCCCGCTTCCTGATTGGCTGGAAAGCCGGCTCTATGCTGATTGGCTGGTAAGCTGGCTTCCCAGGCCAATCAGCATCGAGCCAGCTGAATAGCCAGCTGGATGAGGATTGGCTGGGAAGCCGGATTTCCAGCCAATCAACATCAAGCTGGCTTTCCAGCCAATCAGGAAGCCGGGAAGTGGGTCATTACTCCCCACTTGATGCTGATTGGCTGCTAAGCTGGTTTCCCAGCCACTCACAATCGAGCTGGCCAAACAACATGGAGCCGGCTTCCTTATTGCCCAGGAAGCCGGCTCCATGGCAGCGGAAGCACCAGTAACGATACTCTGAAAGCAAAATACTGGTACTCAATATCGAAAAACGGTATCGGGTCAACAAGGGCTATAGCGACAAGAATACCATCCCCACTGTGAAGCATGGTGGTGGGTCACTGCTGTTTTGGGGGGTGGGTGAGCTCTAGAGGCAGGGGGAATCTTGAATGCACCATGTTATCAGAAAATACTGGCAGACAATTTGCCTTCTTCTGCCCTGGCAGAGAATTTACATTCTTTGGGCGTGGGATGTTTTTGGACTTTCCAATGACCCCAAGCACAAAACCAAGTTGACCCTCCAGTGGTCATCACAGTCTCTTGACCTTAATATCATCAAGCCACTCTGGGGAGATCTCAAATGTGCGGTTCATGCAAGACGACCAAAGACTTTGCATGACCTAGAGGCATTTTGCCAAGACGAATGGGCAGCTATACCACCTGCAAGAATTTGGGGCCTCTTAGACAACTATTCCAAAAGACTGCATGCTGGTATTGATGCTGAAGGGGGCAATACACAGTATTAAGGGTATGCATAATTTTGAACCAGAGTCATTAAATGTTTTTTATTTGTTGCCATGTTTTGTTTTATGATTGTCCCATGCTGTTATGATCTACAGTTGAATATGAATCCCATAAGAAATAAAAGACATTTGTGTTTTGCCTGCACACTCATGTTTTCTTTAAAAATGGTACATATATTACCAATTCTACAAGGGTATGCAACCTTTTGAGGACAACTGTACCTATGGTTCCCGCAGTTCCTAGCTGAAGGTGATTTCCTGCCCTTTCCTGCGGATTCCAGGGGGAATGCTCAGTAGCCCAAATCTTGTAAGACCACGCTCCTTCTCTGTGGTTGAGCATCTCCGGGAATGCATCTGAAGGATCCCGAAATGACCCCCTGCAGTACAGAAGGCAGGGGAAAGGAAAGTGTGTGTGTATGTGTATGTGTATGTGCAATTGTGGCTGCATATAAAAAACTCTATAGTGTTGAGGGTTTTTTAAGCCATTTGGGTGGAACAAAGGTAATAGGCGGATCTTGCTTGTAATTCAAGGTCCACCTGAATCTTTTAGATTTTGATAGTCAAACTCACACCAGCCATAGGCTTCTCCAAGCTGAAAACAGTGGTCATGTGGTTGTAAATAACACATAACCAAAATCGGGAAAACAAGACATGTTAGAGCCCCATACATTGTGATCTTCAACAACCATATTTCGGTTTTCCTTCCACAGGAAGAAGAGGACTTTGTCAAGAACACTTTTGCTGAAGGTAAGCATCAGTCTGTAAACAAAACTTTTTTATTAGTTGGGCTATCCTGCTAAAGATTTCTATCCAGTGCTGGGATTTCCATGTGAAGTCTGATTTTCTGTCTCCTAGGCTCAAACGCTTAACATCAGCATCACTCCAAAGCTGAGCTTTCCTTATTTTGTTTATTGTACCATATGGTCCTTCATCAGGGAATGTGACACCGTCATTTGGTTTTGCCATGGATGCAGAAGAATTTGGAATTCAGCTGGACAAATTGCTCCGCATTCTAAAGCTGAACTCCGTGATAGATAGATAGATAGATAGATAGATAGATAGATAGATAGATAGATGCTTCTGAATAGTGATCCTTTAACCCCTTCATGACCAAAGCCTTTTCCCCCTTTTTTTTGCACACATGTTATAATCCATATTTTAGGCCTGAAAATTACTTCAAATCCCCAAACATTATACATTTTCTGAAAGCCAAGACCCTGTAGAATAAAATGTTCACAGTTGCAAATTTTTATGTTGCACGTTATTAGCGCAACTTATTAACGAGCCCAGGTTAAAAATTGTGTGTGCGCCTGTGAAACAGCGATAAAATCCTGTACCCCAAAAAGTCCATAGACGACGGTTTAAAAGCCCCTACAGCTCATCACTTTTGAGATACGCATAAATATTGGCCCTGCGTGCGCAGTGATACCCAAAATTTATATCGCGATCGTCATTTTCATACGTAGGTGCACCCGACGCATGTTTACTTTATGACGCGCGTGCTGGCGTGCAACTTTAAAAAAAATTTTTTTTACATTTATTTCATTTGATACAATTATTAAAAACTGTTATTTTTTTAACTTTAATTGCTATCGCATAGGGGGATTACAAGCCCCCCCATGTGATAGCATATTGGCAGTGACAGGAACTCTTTAAGGTGATACTGGGGGTCCAAAAGACCCCTAGTGTCACCTTTACACTTTCAACAAGCTATTGAAGTGCAGATCACACTTCAATAGCTTATTGCTGGGCTTCAGCAGCTGAGCACTGACAGCTATGGGACCGGAAGTGATGCAATACTCGTCACTCCCGATCCCATAGAATGGGGAGGAAATCGGTAAACAGACGTTCGCCGATCTCCTCCCCAGCTTCCCACCGACACCCAAGAAGCCGATCCGGGCCCGTAGGAGGGGCAGCAGAGCCCGGGAAACACGGTGGGGGTGTTGGGTGGGGGGGGCAGCCCGTTTATCGGCCCAGAGAAGCGATCTTGTGACAGCTGGGTCGCCAGAATCGCTTTTATTGTAAAGCCGACAATCGACTTTACAAATGTAAACAGAGAATGCCGCTCGCTAGTTTGTGTCCTCCCGTTACCCCAAGGAGAACTATGGGGAAAAACACTGACCCCATAGTTCTCCTTTAAGTAACCTCCCCAACTCCCGACACCCCACAGGATTCAAAGGAGTTTCACCTTTGCCCTGAATATCACCTCTGTCATCTGATGGTAATTGTTCAGTTCAGCATTCTGGGCAATCATGAGTCATGAACTGTAGAATTTTCTGCTGGCAGATCAGAAAGTATACAATATACATTTAGGATTGTATATTTAGGTGAATCGAAAAAAGGTGACTATTTGACATTTTGGCTGCTTTTTAAACAGACTCGCCCCTCACCAATCCCAGCTGTATTTCTGTTATGGTACTTTCAAGATGACATTTATTAAAAATGAGATATGACATTTGTGTGGCAGTTTCACTTCTGCTTCTCTGCAATAAAAAATATTTTATGATGCTGGTATTGTCTTCCTGCACATTTTATAAATGCACAATGTGTGCTTTATTGTTTTTACCTGACTTCTGTAATTACAGACACTTCTCTCTAGATAAAAAGACAAAAACCACTGCGCTAGGAGAACTAAATTTGAAATTTCGACCAGCCGCAACACTATATGGTTATATTGACCAGTGTTGTGATACGTGGGGGTGTGTTGCGCTTGGTCTAAGTGTATAAAAAGACTATTTTTCAAGCACACCAACTTCCAAACACCTACACCACTACCTTAGCCCCCAAAACACCTGGGCTATTCAGTGGTCTAGGTTAGTGATCATAAACATATGTTACTCTTTTGATAGGGTATGGTGACCATTGAGTGAAACAATATAAAAAACCTTCTGAATTAGTAACACATGAAATCAACATAAACGTGAAACCCCTGGGGAGTGGTTTACAATGATGGTAATACTAAATCATGCAGTGATAATAGTGCTCTAAAACCAAGCAGAATAAAAAATAAAAATTATAAGCACAAAGATAGGAAGGCCCGAAGCAAAAAAAATAAAATAAGCGGAGGGCATACATGACTAGGTGTATAGGGGAGACAAGCTACAAAAGGGTTAACGAGGGTTCGGTCTTTGGACAAGGTCACTTACCTGATTGGACAGGTCAAAAGGTTAGGTGGAGCTTGAAGGTTGGTCTGAGTAGGAGGGTCTTCTCTTCAGCAGTTGGAGATTGTATGACGAGGAGTGAACTTCCCTCCTGCCCGCCCGCCCAATTTTGTGGTTAGGCTCTGGGTAGTTATGCGGTTGGGGTCTTTGGAGGCCATCAAATAATAGATGCTGGTGGTTAAGGTTTGGGGACCTGTCTTGGTATGGGTCCTCTATTCATGGTGTAAGATGGTGAACACTATTGGATATTTGGAGCGTCTGCGGTCAGTTGGTGGTTGTCCCCGAGGCGGTGTGTTGCGGCTGGGGGCCTAACATGTTTTAGTACTGCCGCAGGGAACGGATCAAGAAAAGGTGTGGCCTTGAAAGACCTGCAACTTTGGTTATGTAATTCGGACTGATGTTGAAACTGTTTATATATAGTTATGTTTTATATCAAATTATTTAATAAAAGGCTCCTAAGGCCTTAGGGTTAGGGTTAGGGTTATGACACAGGCCGAGCACCATTGTATACCAAAAGATAAGACAAACAGAGACAACAAGACCTCATGGCAACGGACTGCAATACGAAAAGGTCTACATACTAATGATAGACAGCCTGCTTCAGTGCAACAAGGAGTAAAGATATCCAAAGAAAAATGGGTGAACTCCCCTAAATACAACAGGAAGGGGAAAAGGAGAAAACAGGAGTAGAAATAGAGGGGAGAAGAAAAGGGTAGAGAAAAGAAAGAAAGAGCAACAGGAAAGATGAGAGAAAAGAATAGTGTCCTCACAACCCACCACCCACCACCTCCACAAAGAGCTCAAACGTTGAGCTTATGCAGGCTGGATAGATCAAGGGTTAGAAGGGCGTAGGAGATCCAGGGATCCCAAATCTTGAGAAATTTAGCAAGGGTGTCTTGCAGCACACTCAACATCTTCTCATTGAGCAGCATCGAGTTCATACGGGAGCGAACCTCATAAAAATGGACTCTGGAGGACTTTCCCGTCCAGGTGATTCTCTGCTTTGTGGCCAAAAAAAGATAGGTAAACAATGTCTGTTGGGAGGTAGAAAGACCAGGGATCTTATGGTGGAGAAGAGCTACATGTGGGTCTTTACGCATTATGCTGCGTATTGGCTCTCTTGTTCCATTGATTACTTCATGAAAGAAAAATCTGGTCTCTATGGCCATTGGTGTGGTGCTTTTACTGCTTTTCATATTTGGACTTCTCTCAGGGCCTCTCCTTTTTTTACTTTGGTATATGTGTGCAGCCTCAAATAAGCAAGTCAGCTTAATCAGTGAGACAGTCATTCACAACAATCTCTATTAAAATAGGTGATCTAGAGCCTCTTATGCATGCACCCAGCAATAAAAACCTTACATGGACTGATTACTCCCTGTGCCCTCATTGGGGAGATTTGCTCACTTCCTGTCTTGGTGACCACAGAAAGTGAGGGAATTTTCTCCAATGGCTAGACAGGGGGGTTTCCAACCTTCCCTACTCTTATCTAAAAATAAGCCTTGGCTATAGATACAGTTAACCTAGACCCCACCTAAGAGGGAGTCACCCATAGCCTGTTTAGGGATTTTGGTAACCAGCTGCCCCATTAGCATTAACCACCCCTTCTAGTGGCCACAGAGCTGATATCCAGGCCAGAAGTATGATGCTGAAGGCCTTTATTAACATATTCATACTGGGAGAGAGGGTATAGGGATCCTAGACATCTAGGGTAGAACAGACACAGACAGTAGACTCACCTGTCCCTTTTAGTATTTCAGTATAGATTCACTTGTAGCACTGTTGGCACTAGGTATTTGAGCTGCAGATGAGCAGGGATTGGCACAAATCTTTGATAGGAGAGACACCAGACTTGCTCCTGAGGTCCTCTATATTCTAGGCACCTTCAGCAGCCATCAGCTTCCCTGGCTCTCCTCCTCCAACAATAGCAGAGGACTCCTCTAGACTTGAGACTTAACAGAGCATTTCCTACACTCAAGTATTCCCACCCCCAGGCCTAGCCTGGGGGCAGGCTGGACAGCACCCCAACCTGGACTAATCCATGGCTGGAGCCAGTCTGAGCAAATGGCAATTCCCTCGAGCATATATGCTCTGTCCCAGCATGCAACACTGGCCATGAAAAACCCAGTGATTGGCTGGTGAACTGCACACACACTCACAGTGCCCCTCATTGTCTGTCCCACACTGAAGCAGAGTCACACTCCACCCAGGCAGGTACAATCAATGCCAGAACACCTAGAATTAACCAGGTAAATGCCAACTATAATTTATCCAGACGGACTACAGCTCTGGCAATCACTATATTTTTTAGTAGCCACTCCGCTAAAGGTGATAGCTTCCTCATCAGACCTAGCAGTGCTAGGAGCCAATCAGGCACTCCCTCCATGCACATGTGCAGGCAGAAGGAGAGAGAGACTGAGCAGAGCTGATGACCTACCAGTGTTGATGATGTTTCATTGTCCAGCCAGCAGGTTGTGGGCAGGGAGGTCACCCTAGCTCTAATAGAGAAAGTGGTGTCACCTTTCCTGGCTGTGCTAGTTAGAAAAGTTGTATAAATCACAAATTTGGCTAAACAGAATTGCAAATCTTTTGGCATTTAAGACAATTCACATATGTGTATTTAGCTGATTGGCTGGAGTTCAGTACAGCAAAGGTGCTGATTGTGCAAAGATGGTGACTTAAATTCACGAAATTCAAAATATGTTTTATTCTATAATATTCTCCAATACTGTGGACTTTCTTCACATGAGAAGGTTTTAAATTCAAGTGATACATTCCATTTATATATTTTGCTTTTCTCGCAGTATCCCAGAAGCTGCTGGATGAGCTGGAAATGCTAGAAGTGAAGCTCCAAAATGAAGCCATTCTCCTGAAAGAAGAGGGTGCTGAGGGTGTGCAGGTAAATGGTGACCCAACGTAGTGACACCGGCGCACAACAGGAAGTACAAAAAAAACTTAAGGCTAGGTTCACACCTGCACTACACCGCACGACACCCGGGATGCGCGTCCCGGGTGTTGTGATGTCCTGCACAATGCAGGCAGCGATTGCGGCACGGCACCATTGATTTCAATGGGGTGACATCCGCGCAGCAATCGCAGAAAAAAAGTAAGTTCTGTTTGCGATACATGACACACAGCTGGGGTGCCATTAGATCTGCCCCACGCGACTGGGGTGCCATTAAAAAATGGTTCACTCCTGACTGCGTGGCAATCCACGCACAATTGCCACGCGGTGAGGTGTCGTCTAGGTGTGAACCTAGCCTTAAGGCTAAGTTAACATTTTTTACCATGTTTCATGTATTACCCATTTTCAGGATGTAACTTGAAACTTGGTCACAAGGCATCCCCAAAACCCACTCCACCCCCCCCCCCCTTACCGGAATTGCGGGGGGCTTATTCCTCCAAATATTTTGTATTATTTGAATTTGGCACAGCTGTGCGTGGCTCTACCCCCATGCCTGCATCATCCATTCACTGGGATCACTCAATGGAAATAGTCCAGCTGCACCTTCTCTATCTCAGGTCCATACTTTCATATGGAACCGGGGGGTAAGCATTAATAGGGCCTGATCGCAGGTGCAATGCTCTGCAGGCTTCAATCTAAAAAATTAGTAAATGCCTATTGATCATGAAATCACTGTTGATGCTCTTACTATGTTTTTTATGAAAAGGTGGACTTAGCCTTTGAGAAACTATATGTTTTTAAAACAATCCAACATGATGGAATTTTTGTTCTCCTTGCACAGCCGAACACCACCACGTGTGTGAGCATTTCTTCAAGATATTTGAAGGAACTGTCCTACCAAGGTGGAGGAAAGCAGACATAGAGTATTGTCTTTAGCTGTCCTAGCATGAGGTTCTGAGATAGAGCTGACTCCATGTCAGGCCAGAGAAGCCTGGGATGTCACCCTGCCCTTGGAACTCTCAAACATTGAGTCAAAGTATTCGAACCAAAGAGTCAGTCAGAAACAGGCAGATAGACAGAGGTCAGCAATACATGTTGTTGCATATAGTCTACACATTTCTCATGACAGGTTTATGCTTTGTTAAGAAATGTGAGTGCATTGTTGTTATGTGCTAGCAGTAAATACAATTCAAGGTGAATGTCCTCTTTACTGCAGGTCAGCAAAGTAGACAATACACTGGTGAAGCTCAGTCAGCCATCTGTCTCGACACTAAACCACCTCCCAGAACACAAGCCCCTAACCCGACTAAACCATTCCCTGAAAGACCAGCAGATAAACTATCTCCGGGAAGACCCACCATTACACCATCTTCCAGAAGACCAGCCACAAAACCATCTTCTGAAAGACCAACCACTAATTGGTATTCTGGAAAGCAGACCGGTAAACAATATTCTGGAGGACAAACCACTAAGTGATAGTCTGAAAGGCAGGTCACAAAATGATTCACTTGAAGATAGGCCACCTCAGCCAAAGCAAGTACAGGTGGCCTGCGAACTCAGTACTAAAAGGAATGAAGAAGACCATCATCCTAAAGGTAAGATTGATGGTTGGCAAGGTAAAATTTCCATGTTCAGGTTCGGGTTTTGTTTCCTACCAGGAGGCTCTCATTGACCTATGTTCTTGCCATATTTGTGGGTTTCATTCCACAGGCCAAAACATACCGGTAAGTGAACTGGCATCAGAATAGTCCTAGTTTAAAGAAACACTAGCAGTGAGGTGGCCTTCTATAAACTGTGAGTAAGGCTTCTGTCCATGGTTGCATGTGTTTCTACATGGCATCCGACCACTGTGCCAATCTCTGGTATCCATACAGGTGAGAGGGTTCTTGCACTCATTGCAGACTCATGGCTTCACATTCTAGCATCTGCTCACAGGCTAAAAAGCTTCACTTCCATGACCCCATACTATTACCCAAGACCTCTTCCTACTGCTGGTATCTTCTCGGTCTCCCCCCATTGAGCAGTTCTGATCCCACCAGTGAAGGATTCACTGGTGGGATCACATTTAATTCAAATGTAATCCACCTTGAGCATTTAGTTGATTCACTACTATCCAGGTAGCCAAAGGGTGGACCAGACTCACATCCCTCTCTTCATCCCTCCCTGCTCACTTTCAATACTTACTCTGCTTCTTGTATAGTGATAGTAAGAACTTTACATGTGAACAGGTTGGAACTTGCATTTTACTTAGCTTTATCATTGAAAGTATTGTAAGACATATGCTTTTGTTTTTCAATAGCAAAAGATTTGGAGGAGACGGTCAGTAGGCTGCTGGAGGAAAAGAAGCAAAACATAGAGGAAATCGGAGAGCTAAAATGTCAGATACAGAAATTAAAGGAGGAGGTAACTATGTATAAGGACATAGTTTAAGGGGTGTTTTATAAAAAGGGCAAATATGGCCACCACTCTTTCACCACTTATCTATTACATTTGCATTGGGTTACTGCTCTCTCGATTTATAAAGTTCTACTTCTGATGGGATTAGCTTATTTGAGTTATTTTGTTGGAATTACATTGATTGGTTCATAAATACTGGGAACATCACTGGCAACTGTTAGCGAATATGTAGCAAATTGGGGTAAAGTCTTTATTTTCACCCAGATGTTATAAAAAAAAAAACCACAAAATTTACCAATTCCGGGATAGACTTACTTTATATTGCCAAACAACTACTCGTGACAAATACAACAACCTCAATTTATGTGTCTTTATGTATAGTTGTCCAGTATGTAGAAAAAGCTTAATGGTCATTGAAGACCTAACTGCCTGATGACCCCTCAAATGATGGTTTACCTGTGGAACCTTTAGTTCTACCACCTGGTGGGACAATTTTGGTGTCTATAACCATTCCAAATGCTCGGAATGTGCATAAATAGTTTAACTGGCCAGGATTCTCCTCCTCAGCAGTGAGGAAAATTGACCTGTAGGTAAAAGGACCACATTTAGCAGAAGAAGAGTTGAATGTCATGTAAGGAGTGCTCTTCTGAAGGGTTTTGTATTTTGGGTGACTCTATTTACTATGATTTAAATTAATGTAAAAGTTCTTGAAGGGCCATTCCAGTCATTTTGGTTTTTTATGTTTGTGACATTTCATTCAGGTTAAAGATGAACGACTAGAAAGAAAATCTTTGGCACTAAAACTAGAAAGGAACCAGAGGAAATTCCTAAAGCTGAACAGAGGTGAGGAGACCAGCCTTCCATGAGTGAAGAGGAACATAAGGTGAACTTGTGGCCAGACTGTGGCCAGTATTTACTATACATATTTGTAACAAGCAGTGAATCAGTTTCTAACACAAACTGACTCACTCAACTGTGCACCCGCAGTCACCATAGAGTGATTCATCCACAAAGTTCACAGCAGAAGCAGCAAAATCCTTATTCTTTAAGGCACCTCAGCTTCATCCTGCTCCCCATCCCAGAGTGACTAAGCAGCTCAGTTTACCTTGCTCCCCCATCTCACCAGTATCTAAGCAGCTCATATACCCCTGCCCCTTACTTTCTGCGGTGACTCAACAGCTTAATTTCCCTGGCCCTTCCTTCCAGCAGTGGCTCAGAATCTTAGTTCCCCCTGATTCCTCTCACAGTAATGACTCAGCCTATATTCTTCCTTCCACTATTGGCTCAGCAGCTGGAAACCCCCTGCTACCACCTTCAAACAGTGACCCAGCATCTCATCTTTTCCTTCCAGCAGTGACTAGATACCTCAGCTCCCCCTGCTCCCCTTTCCCAGCAGTGACACAGTAAGTCAGTTCTCCCTGCTACCTCCTCCCAGCAGGGACACATTAATTCACATCTCCCTGCTACCATCTCCTAGCAGTGACTCAGGAGCTCAGTTCACCCTATTTCCCCCTAACTAGCAGAGACTCAGGAGCTCAGCTCACCCTGCTTTCCTCTCCCAGCAGTGACTCAGCAGCCTTCCAGCCTTTTGAACTCTTTTAACAAAGAGCAGGAGTAGGGCAGAACTAACAGGCACATAATACCGAAGAAAGCTAAAGGCCTAAAAGTCCTTAATGGGTTAACCCTGTAGAGGGTAGAGGTTAAGAAGACTCTGCAGTCCAACTCAGAATTTACCTGGCCAAAGGCTCTTCCATAGTGTTCCCAGGAGAACAGGGAAATATAATTTTTTCAGTGAGTTCCGTGCCTAATCTGGAGCCTTTGACCAAAAGGACTCTAAAATTAGAGCCTTTAATTGCTCCTGTAGGGCCTCACTGGGAGTAGAGGTCTGTAAACACACAAAAATAATGCTGATAAGGATGATTAGTAACTATGTCTCCTATATTCTTTCTTCAGTCTCACTAGCAGTGACCCAGGAATATGCTGAAATGATAGGACAGCTGGAGCTGGAACAAGACTTAAGACTGGAGGCTGAAATCATAGCACACCAGGTATTGTGACTTATATGCACAGAATATAAATAAGGTTAGGCTAGCCATAGACATGAGATGGCAGTCAGATGAGTCAACCAATAAAGATGATTTCTTATGAAAGACTTGTCCATAAGACAAATAATTGTTTTGGCTGAGCATGCATGTTTATGTCCCGCGCAGATGCTTCTGATGATATCTCAGAAAAACATTGTAGTTTGTGCAGGAGAACCTTCCCTAAATTATGGATTTTCTTCAAGGTAAGTCAGCTAGGGGGCATCTGAAGAGGTTGTGTGTCTATAGACATAAGGAGGATTAATCACAAAGGAGCCGAAGGATTATGTCGATGCATCGGCTGATCCTTCGGCTCACTTCGGCCGCCAGAGCCCTCCGGTTCAGCCGAACTGAAGGGCTGCTGTAAGGGCTATTCACAATAGCCCGTACAGCAACGGAAGCCAGCTGAAGCTAGCCAATGTACGGCTGAGTTTAGCCGATGTACGGCTGAAGTCAGCCATACAGGGCCAAAGTGAATAGCTGAACGGCATTCGGCTCACTTCACTTCGGCTTGGTTATTCACTCGGCTGCCCTTGGCAACTTAGTGAATAACCCCCAAGATCTTCTAGATCAGGGGTCAGCAACCTGCAGCTCCGGAGCCGCATGTGGCTCTTTCATCCCTCTGCTGCGGCTCATAGATGGGGGGGGGGGGGGGGCCCAGTGAGGTCCGGTCCTGGGCACCCCTCCTGGTGGAATATGCGGCAGTGCAGGGTCCCCGCACTGCCGACGGGCTTCTTAGTAAGGGGGCAGGAGAGGAGAAGTGGTGTATGTCACATGCCCCGCTCCCTGCATTGCACGCCGTGCTGGCTGTGAGGCTTGGCGGTTGAGTCCAGTGCGTTACTAAGCCCAGAGTCCAGTGCGTTACTAAGCCCAGAGTCCAGTGCGTTACTAAGCCTACATATACCTATATACATGCTATACATAGCATAAAGATAAAAAAGGAGTGTTATCTTCATTTTAGATGTCAAAAGGGTTTTGTGGCTCCCAGCGTTTTCTTTTCTGTGGGAAACGGGTCCAAATGGCTCTTTGAGTGTTCAAGGTTGCTGACCCCTGTTCTAGATCATTACCAGTTGGGTCAGATGATAGTTATCTTTGTGGGTAACGTAACCCTTTCTGTACACAGCACCTATCTTGCCACCTGCACATGTATTTCTCTCTAGGCCATGTAGGCCTTTTTTATAAAGTGGTTGTCCTTGGCCCACTAGAAATAAATCTTCTTTTTATTTGACTGTATTCCAGTGGTGTGACCAAAAAAGACAAAGGTCAAAGTGGATCCCTCATATCTCATACAAGTTTGACTGTTCTGTTTAGCCATTGCTATACTAATTTTAAACATTTAGGTGAAATGTTACCTTTTTTCAATGGTTATAAGCTATCAGAGCGGGATCACTGCATAGCCAACATAGGCTGTGGACTTGGACATCAGAGCTGCCAGAAAGGCAAACAGACACTTACACACATACATCACATGACATTACTGTACATAATAGAAGGTTACAGAATGCCTTCCTGCAATCCATCTGGTCTATTGTTGCTGTCCCAACACGTTTGGCATTTTTGTGAGTGGAAAATTATACTTGGCACACACAGTTCACCTCATCTGGGTCCATACACCTAGAACTAAACTGATAGAAGAATAAGGACTTGTACAGATAGGCTGTATTTATGAAGACTGCCTTTTGCATCAGAACACAGGGTTACTGAAACGCATGGGTGTGGTAGTTGCAGTTAACCTGTTTTTCTGAAGACCTCAATAGGATCTCAATAGGACCTGCTGTGTCGACAGAAATGAAAAGCAAAGCAAACCAGGCCAAATGCAGGCTCCTCCAGGTCACCCATGCTGCATAATTAAAAGCAATTAAAAGTGAACGGAAAAATGCACAGAAACAACTGGCATCTGCAACATCCATAAGGCGATTATTTTCAGTCATTGGCTCTAAGTGTGCTGCCACAGGTTGGCTGTCCGTCCATTGCCTTTGCAAGGCTTGTGTTCTTATGGCATCTTGTTAGAAGCTGGGTACATGGGCATGTGACTGAACTGCTTTTCCTCCCGATACAAGTCAATAGGGACACAAAAGCAGCTTCAAGCTGCTTAATGGTCAACTCCAAGTGAAAAAGAGGCCCACTGCAGGCCAGAAGGAGTTCATCTGAAAACACTAGGGATAAGCAAATCTGCCCAGGTTTGATTTACAAACAGTTTTGTGAATCCCACATGAAGTTTTGCATGGCACCCGAATGCATTAGATCAGCACACGCCAGGCAGACCTGTATTACAGCACACCACAATGTGTGTTATTGCACTACAGGCAAAAATGGTGTAAGTCTGATTTAAGTCCATCGAGGTGTGTTGGTAGTCCATTACTATGAATAGATATTTTAACACAAAGATAGTGAACACACATCATAACATGCGTTGACACATAGGCATTAAAGCATCACAATCGAACACCCAGGTGTGATGGGGGCTTCAGTGTAATACTAAGACTAGTCAGTTCACAAGTTCAGGAAGAGTTCTGCACAACACAGATTGCCTAGGTGTGCAGGAAGTACAAAACTAAGGGGTCTATTCACTAAGCTGCTGTAGGCAGCCGAGTGAATGACCGACCTCAAGTGAAGTGAGCTGAACACAGTTCGGCTATTCACTTCAGGCTGGTACATACATCGGCTTGCTTCGCATGGCTTCGGGTCGGCCGAACATGCTCAGCATGTTCGGCTGACCCGAAGTGCAGAATGAGTTCGACTCAGCCGATCCAACATCTGGATCGGCGGAGCCGAACCTCCGGCAGGCCACTCACTGCTGTTCGGCCTATTCTTAAAGATGCCGAACAGCAGTGAGCCTGAACGCTGTTCAGCGGCAACAGCGGCATTCGGCTCGGCTGTTCTGCTCGGTTCCTGTGAGGGACCGAGCAGAACAGAAAAATAGTAAAAAAAGTAAATAGAAAACGATTGTGCGGAGCTAGCAGTGACAGCTAGCTCCGCCCAATAGTTTCCTATTGTCCGGCGGTTCTACTGCCGTCAAAAGAAAAAACTCCCCCGGCCGCCCAGGAGAGAAACACTGCTTTTTCTTTTTTTTCTTTAATAGAAAAAAAACAAAAAATTTTTGCCCATTGGAATGCATTGATAGATTCCTGTTGGCTATTTCAATTTGCAATAGCCAATAGTAAACTAGCATTGTACCCGCCCTCTGATGATGAACCTGATGGAGAACTGCAGCAGAGGGCGGGTACAATGCTAGTTTACTATTGGCTATTGCAAATTGAATAGCCGTAAGATCACGGCTGGCTCCGCCCAGCTGTCAGAAGCAGGCTGTCAGCCAGCTTCGGCTTTCAGTGCGGCTCAGCCGAGCCGAGGCATATGCGTTCGGCTCGACTTAGCCGCTGGGCCATGTTCGGGAGCTGTACAGGCTATAGTGAATAGCCCGTACAGCACCCCTTCGGTTCTACTGAACCGAAGGGGTCCTGGGGCCGAAGCTAGCCGAAGCTACGGCTAGATCCTTCGGCCGCTTCGTGAATAGACCCCTAAGTCTACTAAAGCTCCAAAGAACTTATACAAATGGGAAAAGCATGTGAAGGAAATATATGCTGCTTTATTCTGAACAGAATGTCATGTTTAGCTCATGTAAGTCGATGGAGAGACCCTCCGCACTCCCCACAGCAGTCCCGGCCAGATAAGAAAAAAGTGGTGCTCGCAGTGATGAATTACCACAGATACCGCCGTGCAAACACAGGAAAGTCAGGAAATCACCAGCACTCAGTAGTAAAGATAAATATGTCCCTTTTATTGGACAGAAAGCGTCACAGACATCCAAATAAACCGACGTTTCGGGGCCGCGCAGGGTCCCTTCCTCTTTCTGCTTTGAAAGGTGAAGTTGTTCTGACTTTGTTTCCTGTAGTTTTATCCATCCCTTGTGTTAAAGGCGGTAGCAAGAAATGATGTTAATAAAGTTACTGCTAGAAATATCTTTTTAAATGTATCTGCCTGCCAATGCTGTGTGCACAGATGACGAATCATTGTGGATCTCCATGTTTTTGTCCTCAGATACTGAGGGAGAAGCGGGAAGTCTCTAGGCAGAGCATGATACTGATGCAGAACTTGGAACCTGATCAGATGCTTCTAAAAGCTCTGGAGGATGTCCGTAAAGTGGAAGAAACCAAAGCCGAGCTACAGACACAGGTGGGGCATGACAAGTGCATGTTTAGAGCATAAAATAAGTATATTCAGCAGGAAGAGTGGGAGCTCCTCATAATTGGCACAGCAGTTGTACAGGCCCGAGAATGTAGCATAGATGCAAAAAACTGTAAAGTGCTCTCTAGCATCTACCAAACATCAAGGTATCAGGTTTGGGTGGACTGTCCCTTTAATTAAATTAACCTCTTACTTTTACTTTATTAAGTTAGGGACAGGGAAGGCAGAATGTGCCCAAGCCTAAGTGACAATACCAAGACTTTCGTGATGTAGCTTGGTGCCTGCACCTGTTTTTAATGGAAATAATGCATGAAGGCCAGAGCTAGATACCACAGCATTGGCTATTTAGCCCTCAAGCAGTGTAAACATATCAGTGTACTCTTCTTCATGACAGATTTATATAATTCTGTCCATCCCCTTATCTAAAGGCTACGGAAGAGCCCCGGGGCCATGCAAAAAAAAAAATCTGAAACATAATTCTGTTTAAAAGTCAAAATTCTGAGTTTGAAACTCGGAATTTTGACTTTCAAACACAGAATTCTGACATTTAAACAAAGAAGTCTAACTTTTAAACACAGAATTATGTTTCATATTATTATTTAGCAGGAAATAGGTTCAGGAAATAGTCTGTCCTCCATTTCCTAGAATTTGTCACTGTGGAGAGAATGCAGTCACCTGAAGGCCAATCTCAGGAGAGCAGCTAGGAATCATGATCAATTGAGTTGAGCACAACACAGCCTCCTACAAACTATTCTTTTAAAGGATGTTTAAAACTCCAAGATGTGAGCAATCTACCTTGACTTGTTGGTGTCCAGGGGAGAGCTAAGTCATTTGGTTTGTGCTCTCCAGGTGTTTAAGATGGAGATTTGAATGGTCTTGGTCTAAAGAGATGGATGGCTTTGATATACAGCCAATCCCATGCCACCGTAAGCCCTGCTGAACCCAAACTACCCGTGAGAGGAAAGTAACTTAAACAGTTCAGTAAAGAGAAAAGATTTGCAGAGACAAGCAATGTATGTACATTGTATCTTCCTATTGTCAAAAATCACAAAATAACTGTGTGTGGGGGAATTAGGGTACTAACTAACTGTCAGAGATAAGATGGCTGGAGCTAGGTTAAGCCCCCTAGAACAGTGAGAGGGTCTGATACTGTGGCCTGGCTCATTACTCCAGCATTAATGAACATGGGTCTGGTAAGAGTACCTGTGAGTGAACTGGAACCTGAATGGATAGGGGGCAATAAGCAGAGCAGTAGTAGCAGAGGAGAGCTTTGCCATGCAACTGCTGAGTAACTTCCAGTGGTCTTGAGAAGGTCCTTATGGAGGGGCTGCATCTACAGAGTTTCTGCCTGCATTTGTTCTCCACCTTTACACATATTTGAGGCTGGATTTGATAAGTAGATTGTTTATAGTGAACCATTGCTCTTTGGCTGCAGTTAAAAAGTCTGGAACTGCAGCTGGAAGAAAGGCCTTCACAGGAAGAATTAATCGGGATCAAAGAAGAACTGAACACAGCAAATCAGGAGAAACATCATTTAGAAGAACAGCTGAAGGTGGAGCAAGAGAAGTTTGCGGACTTGCAAGACAAAGGTACGTCACCCTTGGTAGTAGCAGACTGCAGACAAACAGCTGTCCTGACCCGCAAAGCACACCAGCTGATGTATCCACATTGCCAGACCTTGTCATCAGATTAGTTGTACTAGCTCCTTCCATTTGTGGCTGCCAAGTACAGAAAATGAAATGGCCGGAGAAAACCATATATTTGTAGCGCTCACCCCCGAAGGAGCCGCTGAGTTTGAAATAGGTTCTCCTACCTGTTGGTTCCAGCTGCCAGTCCCCTTTGATCAGCAACAGCACACCGACACTCACGGACAGAACGGCTCGAGTCTTAGGGTCTTTTTAGGGTATTTATTTGCAACATCAATAGGAGAGAGAGGGTTTAGGATCTGTAGGATGCCATTTGGAAATACTTCTGAGGACATCTTTCTCACCTAGCAACCGCTAAGGCCGAAATCACTGCGATCTGGTCCCAGGGACCAATAGTAGTAGTAGTACTGTGAACAGATACCTGGAATAGGGTGGGGGATCTCCCTTGTGGGTCCCAGACGGACGCTCGCACCAGCTCCTCTGCGGTACCCCTCAACAAGCGGACTCCTCCCCGACCCAGCTTCCATCAGGTATTTTCCTCTTTAGGATCTGGAACTTCTGTGCCCTCAGCATCTGCAACTGCCAAGGAGCACTCCAGTTAAATGAGAGTATCTTCTTAGAACAAGGCACCCATCACCTGCCACGTGTATGGGCCCAGCAAAGTATCAGTGTATCCTAGGCCTCTAGGTCCCTCAGCACCTGCCATGTGCTGAGGCCCAGGCCAGTTTCCTGCATCACACACAGTCCTCCTAGGGCGAGGCCCCTAGGGGAAAGAGAGCTCTCCACAATGTCCCCAGACCTTTTATCACCTGCCCTCAACCATGCCTCTGAGTCATCCTACTCAGGGATTGGCCAGGGCCAGGTGCATAGTCATAACCTGAGGGTGGATCCTCCCTCACTGTATGCCAAGGCTCCCTTTTCCTCAGCAACAGGAGGAGCAATCAATCCAGCAGACTCAGGGACACCTATAGAATGCAGAGCTCTGTATAATCAGTATCTAGACTGGTTACAGTCCAGGTATCTCTAAATTGAATAGCGACATTTTAGAGGGCGCTACACTTTATTACAACAGATTTAATGGGCGATGAAAGTGGGGAAGCAGAGCATCTGAAAATGCTTTACTGCTGTATCAAACTTTTCTGTCCCAGTGACCACAGCTCCCACTGCTTCTTGTTGGAGTGTTAAGAGGGCAGGAAGTGAGGGAAGATCATTTTTAAGGGGCCACAGACAAGAAATAAAAACCTGGCAGAAATGTTAACTCTTCCCCACTCTAGCCATAGCTAAATATAATGGCTGGAGTTGGGCATAAAGCAGTTTTTTCTTTGTTTTCGCTGTCACATACATGTGTTAGGCCTCATAACCCTTGGAAGAGTATATCTCCCTTGCATACTTGGTATATTTAACGCTTTAATGTTCAATATCTTTTTTTCCTTCCTAGTAAAGACTTTGGAAGAGAAACTGAAAGAATCATCAGCCAATGGACTGGAAGATGTAGAAAAGGTAGCAGAACCCATACTACCACCACCTCCTCCTCCTCCTCCACCACCACCACCACTTATGCGTCTACTTTCCACAGCACCCAAAGAGTAAGTAAATCTTGTCACCATGCTCTGAGCTTCAAACCTAAATCTACAATGTCTTTATTTATATCTTGGCAGTGAACACAGCAGATGTAGAAAATGAAGTGCCAGACCATTAACGTGTTTCAGAGGCCTACTAAAATCTATAATGTATTCACTATAAGGCTGGGTTCACACCTGGGCGTACGGAATATGCGCGGTTGCCGCGATTTGTGGTAAAAGAAACGTGTGACAAAGGCGCGTTTCCGCGGGCTATCCTAGCTGTATCCTAATGGATACGCGCGGAAAATACGCCCCAAAGAAGCTCCTGTACTTCTTTGGGCGTAGGGCGTTTTTCAGCGCGTTCCTACGTGCTGAAATACGCCCAGGTGGGAACCATGCCCATAGGCAATTAATGGTTTTCACATGTTGAGCGTTTTACAGCGCGTTGGAACACGCTGTAAAACGCCCAGGTGTGAATCAGGCCTTAAACCAAGGATAACATGGAGATCCTTTGGATTGCAGAAACTGCCTTCCCTGGATGTGGGTTCCATGTGCTGTGGGCTTTAAGGAATGGTACAGTAGTCATGTTGAATTTGCTGCTGTGTTCTTGTGTATCATCAGCAGTTTGGGAAGGTTGGGAGCTGTATGCTCCAGAAATGGTCAGCAGACAGGCTTGATCTTCCATTGATGGCCTGCGGCAGGCATTTCTATGCAGCCTGCTTTGAAGTGGAACAAGCCCTTAGCCTATACGGGACAGCATCTTGCAGTGTATAGAAGTATCATCGTCCGTATCACTGCAGGCTGTGGAAGTCATATGTTCACAAAGACCTCTTCCATTCCTTAGAACGGGCATGCCAAACTGAAATTAAGCAGTGGCCAGAACTGAATGGATGAATTTAGGTCTTTAGGGCAGCAAAGCAGGATAGAAAGAGATTCATGTGGCCCTCCAAAAAACATGCCTGACTTAAGCTGGCCATACACCAATAAGCTTGCATTTGAAATGCATTTGATCATTTGATGATGCCATCATTGAGTCTAGGGATGTGCGTGGGCTTGTTGTGTAGCTAGTTCACCTGAGCCTGCTTAAAACACTCAGTGACACATTCCCCTCCTGGCCCAGTCTGCTGCGGCCGGGGAATTCCTCACCCTGCAGCGACACATAACAAAGGGCCAGGGGAATGACCTGGGCCTGGGCTGATTGGGAAGCGAGGGGGATGTGTCACTGACATTTTTGCACCAAACACACGCACATCCCTATTCAAGGCTAATTTAGTTTGGAAAGCTCTTAAAATTTTGTCCAGACCTTCTACTTGAATGCAATCCTAGACATATTAAATGGGTTTCTTTTGTGCTTAACACATAAGCATTCAAACATGTACAATTGTAACTGAACAAAAAAGACTTTCATGGTTAGAATTTTATTTGTTCCGATAAGAAACAAGAAAAATATTACTTAGCCTTCAAATTTTCTTGTCCATATGGTCGAAACCGATCATTGATTTGCCCCCAGTAACTATTAGAAGAACGAACAAATGTTCTGAAAATGTAGTTTTCGAACAAGATTATACTGGTGTTTGGCCATTTTAGAAGATGGACAGGCTGGCTGTGATCCCCATCGCCTGCAGTGATGGCTGATAGCGCTGACTGTGCGGCTTTGTGTGTCTGCTTCCAAATGGAATTCATAACCTCATCACTGAGCACAAAATTAGATAAAGCTTTGTGTGACATGGCAATTCAAAGAGCTAGACAGAAAAATGTGTTGCTGCATCAACGGTTTATAAGATGAAACTGAGACTTGTCAATTTTGCAGCCCTCTGGCCCGACTGAGAGAACAGAGAGGACTTCGGCCACCAACAGCAGCGATCATGACAGGTGAGCTGGCAGGTCAGGTGATGTCTGAAGGTGGCGAACCAACCGCATGTATAGTGACACAATAGAGGGTGCCCGCTTATCATTGAAAAGGTTGGTCTGCTCATTGTGGTGAAGGTGGCAGCCAGAGAATCTCACAGTGAGGAAGTCACTCTCAACTGCCAAGCCGGGACAAGGCCCCACAGGCACCTAGGGTGAGGAATGCAAAAATGCAATGATGAATGCAAATAAACGTAGAGCAGCACCCGAGCACAGGGAGAATACAGCTTGGAGCTTTGTGCCAGCCGAGCGCTGTGCTCTGTTAATCATGAGAACGCAGCTCTCCCTGTGTAATCATTGAAGGTCTGTGGCAGCCGGGCGCCGAGTTCTGTTTATCAAGAGAATACGGCTCTCTCTGTGTAATCATCACAGCTCTGTGACAGCCGTGCGCTGAGTTCTGTTTATCAGGAGATTGCGGCTCTTCCTGTGTAACCATCAGAGCTCTGTGACAGTCGGGCGCTGAGTTCTGTTTATCAGGAGAATGCGGCTCTCCCTGTGTAACCATCAGAGCTCTGTGACAGCCAGATGCTGAGTTCTGTTTATAAGGAGAACGCGGCTCTCCATGTGTAATCATCAGAGCTCTGTGACAGCCAGGCACTGTGCTCTGTTTATCAGGAGAATGCGGCTCTCCATGTGTAATCATCAGAGCTCTGTGACAGCCGGGCGCTGAGTTCTGTTTATCAGGAGAATGCGGCTCTCCATGTGTAATCATCAGAGCTCTGTGACAGCCGGGCGCTGAGTTCTGTTTATCAGGAGAATGTGGCTCTCCCTGTGTAATCATCGGAGCTCTGTGACAGCAGGGCGCAGTACTCTGTTTCCAGAGTGGTTGGATGTCACACTGACAGCGGAGTGCCACAGCTTGCACAGGGAGCCACCATCTCCTAGTGTAATCTGCAGGACTGAGGACCACTGCCTTCAGAGACAACGCAGAGTAAAACATTCATCAATAACCATAGAAGCCGGCTAAGAGTGTTTCTCATGGTTGGAATACACATTTCCGGCAATCTTTGTTTTTCAGTTTCCCCCGATGTCAAAGAAAAAGCCATACAGGAAATGAAGAAAAGAATTGAGCAAGGCAATATCCTAAGGCCTACGCCAAAATCTGGACAGGTCAGTGCTAATTTTTTTTTCGTTTTAGCCAGGTTGAAAAAAAAAAAGACATTAAAGAAAGAAGTCCGTCGAGTTCAACCAATAGAAACAATTAATATTAGGGTGTAACATGAAACATGGTCAGTTCACAAGCCCCCCCTTCCCCTCCACCTCACTTACCTGAATCGCTGGATTCTTCTCCCCGCAGACTTGTCTACCTTTTTGAATTTGGCGCAGCTGTGCGTGGCTCCACCCATGCAGCGTCGTCGTCCATACACAGATCCTTTGACTTTTCTTTAAAAAAAGTTGGATTTTCTCTTTCATGTACCTACTACTTTCAGTGCTTGGTGCCGAACGCCACTCTGATGAGGAGAAATTGTCCCCCAAACACGATAATACCATCCTGTCAGGGGGCAGACAAAGGAATCACTGAGCACTGTGGGGCACACAAGATATTGGCACTCTCAGAAGTGTCAGTTTCTGGAGATTTAAGCCGGGGATATATATGGATTGGCATAGACAACAGGAGCAGTAAGTGTCTCCCATCTTCTTTTCAGGCAAGGCTTTTATTGGGCGTTTCCATGTGCTGACAGGCTTACGTTAAAGAGACCCTGTCTGCAGTTCATTCATGTAAAAAGTACATTTCCCATCAGATGTTCTCTCCTCAGTTTTCAAGAAGAGCTTGAGACAGGTGGCAAGCAAGAACAGTCAGTTTCCAAAAAAGGAGTCGAGGCAGGCAGCAGACAAGAATAGTCAGTTTTGAAGAATAGGCCGATGCAGGCAGCAAGTAAAACTAGTCAGCTTATCAGAAGAGGTTGAGGCAAGAATAGTCAATTTCCAAGGCGAGGCCAAGGCAGGCAGCAGGCAAGAATAGTTGGCTTCCTACAAGAGGTCAAGAAAGGCATCAGGCAAGAATAGTCAGTTTTCAAGAAGAGGCGGAGGCAGGCAGCAATCACAAATAATCAGGAATCATGTGCTGACAGGCTCACGTTAAAGAGACCCTGTCTACAGCTCATTCATGTGAAAAGCACATTTCCCATCAGATGTTCTCTCCTCTTACCTTTTTATCGTTTTCTCTTGAAAGGCCTCCCTTCTCTACGGTATGCAGCATGTCTGGGCACTGCCAACTTGGACATGATGGCGGCACACTCACAGTTGTCACTCCAGCGCTCTAACTCCTCATCAATACGGCCCGTGGAGCATCGGCTTAACAGCTGGGCTCCTACCTTCTGCCCTTCAGATCCACCCAGATAAGCCAATATGCTGGGTTTTGACAACAATCATTTCACCTTTGTTGATTAAAAATTTAGGAGCACTTGATAGTAACAAGACAATAACAATACTGTTAACGCGTTTCAGCTATACAGCCTTAAACATAAGCTATGACTAAAACTGTATAGCTGAAACGCAGTGAATGTTAAGTGTGGTCAGACTCCGGCGTATTTTCTTATCCAGCAGAGCTATGGATCTGACACTCCCAGAAGTGGCAGATTTCTAAGAATATACCAGCGGTGATAGAAACATATAAAAATTGTAGTCAGAAAAAGACCAAGTGTTCTTCCCTTTTTGATTTTTTTTATGGTTGTTTTTTTTTTACATTAATTTTTTCTCAAACTTTTTTTTCTGAGTGGAGATCAATATTTCTCCAAAGCATGTTCAAATTCAGTTACTCTGCAGACCAGAATATGAGTTGTACTCAATGCTGGGAACAAAACGAACGTGAGGGCGCAAGGCTAGGGGGACTAAGAAACTGATGGTAGTAAGAGGAAAAAGTTCACTTACTTTAAGTGGGTCTCGGGACCAGATGGATGTGTCAGTGTGTCCGTGTCACCGCTGGAGCAAAGTGAAGTGCCGGTGGTGTGAGGACTGACGTCAGGCTGGGCTGCCGCTGCGGGTGGAGGAGATCGGGCTGTGAAATGTGCGTATCTGGGCCAGTGTCCGGGCCGTGGTGAAGATGCAGGATGGAGAATCGGCCGGGGTGGTGATGAAGTGAGGAAGGATCAGGTCGGTGAAGCAGTGGGTGGAGGCTCG